GAAGTTAAAATCTGAACACATCCAGAAGCAACCAAGTTGGGAAAAGCTCTTTATGTAATCCAGAGTCAACTCATTCAGGTGTCTTCTGGCATTGATCAGGAATATTGTTCTGGGTAGAAAATGGGCCGCATACTACTTTTTCTACTGTGATTTGATGTTGTTATGGGATGTTCATGAACATTTCTTCCACCAAGAGAAGAGAAAAGATCTGTCATAAGTCGTTAAGTAAAATTATGAAAAATTATGTTGAAAAATAGTACACATTCAATAAGAGAGGAGAAAGAGAATGTTACGTTCTATCAGCACTGAAAATTCAAATTATATGTAAGACAAGGGAAATATTTCAACATTTATGGTAAGATCACTTTACTGTTAATCAGCATATCCTTGTCTTATCAGCCTCAATAGATATTCTAGCCAGTAGGCACTCTGTGTTCATTACTGATCCAAGTAATTCATTCTAAGGTGACTAGTTAACAAGGCTAATGAGTATTACTTTAGAAAACCACTGCCAAAAAGTGTCATTAGGCAAAATTCCATATAAAAATCCAAGCACAAGGAGAAATAGGCCCCAAAATCAGTATGAATTTTCATACAAACTGGGTTTTCTTTTTTAAAAAATGATATAAAAATAAGCATATGAAGCAAAACTGCAACTAAAACTGAGAGAAACCCAGACTGAGAGAGCCATTTGTGTCTAGTTTTATTGGCACAAAAAAAGATATCAGACAAAGTGTCACTACTAGGATCATTCCAGAAAGCCCCAAATATTTCAAAATGACATGTGTGAATCTCAGTTAAGAGATCTGAACCTCATGTAGTGGAAGCCACTAAGCAGTCAAATCCAGACAACTGTCTCTCTTCCCCACTTTTTCTCTAGGGCCTGTTCACTTCTATTTTTATTTCCATCAACCTGTTTTTGACAGTTGGTCCCACATATCACCCTCATTTCCTTCCTCCCTGATTGGACTGTACCCAGCTATCAAGCAGTTTGAATGTCAAAGGAAAGACAAACCAGGTTAAGAATAGGAAAGAAGGCAGAGGTCTTTACTGCG